TGGGCGCTGTCCCTCAGCTCTTCAGCTCACGGCTAGCGCTCTACCACTTGAGCCACAGCACCACTCCCGGCTTTTTTCTTTTTGCTTATGTGGTGCTGAGGAATCGAGCCCAGTGCTTCAGGCATGCAAGGCAAGCGCTCTACCACTTTGCCAACTTCCCAGCCCCCATGAATGTCTTTTTGTTTTTGTTTTTCCTTTTCTTTTTTGGCACAGGGGATTGAACCCACGATGTACTTGCTGGAAAGGGCTTTGCCATTGAGCTATATCCTGGCCTTCTGTAGCCTTTTTGCATTGGTCTATCTTGCCCCTTTGCTAACAGGACTGAGATGGTAGAAAAGCTGGTTTCCCTTCAGCTTTTTCAGCAATGAGCACCATATAGGATTCCTATTGGCATCTTGTGTTCAAGGTTCTGCTACTGTGACAAAATACCAGAAACAGTAATTTTTTAATACATAATAGAACGGCAGCAATCAAATAGAACTGAAAGCCTCTTTCAGGTGGGGCCTCATTCAGCAGTTTATCACTGTCCCACATTTCACTGTGTCCTCTCTACTTACAGGAATGGGGAATACCTGGCCAGTGTGCTGCATAAGGCCCATGCACTATAATTACAAATGCTTTTGACTTAGGATATTTTCAGCTTGCCATGGGTTGGGATCAGTAGTGACCCCATCTTAATTGAGGGTGCTATGTTGTTATCAGCCTCATTTACTGGATATTGTTATCAGGAGCCCAATGAGCAGTTTGTACTAAAACTATGTTGGCCTGACTGTTTAAGTCACTGAATTTCCCAGCTTGCATTTCTGAGGAGCTTGGAGTCTGAGAGGCACACAAGACCACTACTGCACCCTCCCTCCCCCTTCCCACCTCATCAGGCCCAGTTCTGCCCACCTCCCAGTGAGTGACCTGGGTGACCTGGGACCAGTCATCTGACCTGTCTGGGAAGCTGGCCAGGGAGCAGGCTCTGCTTCCTCCAGAGGCTTGTTGTCAGGAGCAAATGAAGTCATGGATGAGAGGCTCTCTGTGAACTCCAAGTTAATACAAACATAAGAGATCATCATTCAAGCGACAAGTCCCTTGTTGATCAAGCATTTCTTTAAGGGGGGAAATAGCACGGAGTCTTAAGTAGGACCCCCATGGGAGTGGGGAGCTCCCAGCACCTCTGCGGGAAGGGGTTAAGGCTTTGAAGATGCCATTAATGTCGTCGCTAATGGAGATAAAGCCGTGGCCTTGCCATGATTTTCCCTCCCTCCCTTCCTCTCTAATTGCATTCACCTCAAAAACCCACAAGTAGCAGCAGGTCCCAGCGGTCATTACTACATTTGAACAACTAATTAGATGTTGGGAGAACCCTGAGTTTTTGCTTTAATAGGGGCAGGGGAAGGAAAGAGATGAACAGGTGGGTCTGGGGCAAAGGGTCTTGGACCGGCCCTAGTGAGTCCCCCATTCAGCTTCTTTACCCCCCCGCCCTCTTTGTCCCATAGCCTTGGCAGGTTCCCATCCTGGCCGCCTCTCTGGGCTGAAGTGGACTGCTGGCCCTCAATGGCCAGCCTTCTCCTCTGGAGGGGCTTTTGTCTGTCATTGTTTTTATTGTCTCCTCCATGGCTGCCTAAGCTACTGGTTCCCACGCTTCACATTCTTCCCCAGGGCTCCCCAGGGGTGGGGGTGGGGGGGAGAGTAGGGGGAGCAGGTGGTCTGAACCTTGTAAAGAATGGACCGGGTTGTATTGTTGTGGTGCTGGGAGACAGGAGACCTGGCTGCCAGTCCCCTGGGGACTGGGTCAAGCCAGTCTCTCCCCTGGCGGCAATGTCCTTGGCTGGGAAGTGAAGGGCATAGTCGCTTGCTGAGTCTCACCACCTTTAAGATGCTGTAGTTCTTTTTTTGCACTTGTAATCCAAACCTGACCTCCCATATCCACACTGCATGTTCAATTTACTTAAAGTAGATGACATGCATAAATCTTAAGTGTACAGTTTTGGGAAGTTTTACCTAAGTCTGTGCTGGCATCATCATTCCCCAAATGAAAGTATAAGTTGATTGGTGCAGCAGAGAGCTCACGGGTTCTAGCAGGTGGCGTGTGGAAGGTAGGTGATTTGTGGGTTGTTGGGACCAAATAAAATGGTTCATCATAAAAATAGGCAACTAGTCACTGACCTAGGGACCTCTAATGAATGGTTCTACCTTGTTGTATCCTTTACAGTGAAAATTCCTAAAAGAAGCCAGGCATCAGTGGCTCATGCCTGTAACCCTAGTTACTCTAGAGGCTAAGATCTGAAGATAATGGTTCAAAGCGAGCTCAGGCAGAAAGGAAAAAAAAAAACTCTTATCTCCAATTAATCAGTAAAAAAGTTGGAAGTGGAGCTATGGCTTAAGTGGTAGAATACCAGTCTTGAGCAAAAAAGCTAAGGGACAGTGCCCAGGTCCTGAGTTTAAGTCTCAGTACTGACCAGTGGCAAAATAATAGAAGCTATGTAGATAATTGCATGTTTTCTAACAATCACAGTAAGTAAACAAAAATGTGAGGAAGGGGGATGGGAGGTAGCTCAGCTGATATCTCCAGCACTGCGCCTGTGTGTGCCTGTGTGGTGCGTGCACATGCACGCACACACGCATGCAGTCCTGGTCAATATAGAATAATGTTGAGACACTTTGCACTTCTCTTGAATATTAAGTCTTTGAAATACAGTGCTTTAGGCACATCTCAGTTTGTTGTGACCACATTTCAAATGGCCAAGGCCACCATATAGGATGGCCAGTTGTATCTAGACTCTTCAGACTCTTGGCTTTCACCACTCAACCTAACTTGTTCTTACCAAGTTCACCAGCAGCTGCCATAAGCACTTTCATGATGAATTCACAACCCTCCCCCGTCTTTTCTCTCTTACCACCTTTTTGTCATTTTCCTCTTGCTCTTTGTGGTTTTGTCATATGTGTGTCCCTAGGCAAGTGCTCTACCACTGAGCTATGCTGCTCCTCGTCACCACTGCTTCATTCCCTTCTTCATTTTCCTCAGTTGGTTTCTGGGATTTTTTTCTCTAGAGGTTTTCTTCTGGCTTTTTTTGAGGTAGTTAATTGGGAGATAAAAGTCTTATCAGATGGGGCTGGGAATGTAGCTTAGTGGTAGAGTGCTTGCCTCGCGTGCATGAAGCCCTGCGTTAGATTCCTCAGTACCACATAAATAGAAAAAGCCAGAAATGGTGCTGTGGCTCAAGTGGTAGAGCATTTGCCTTGAACAAAAAGCTCAGGGACAGTGCCCAGGCCCTGAGTTTAAGTCCCAAGACTGGCAAAAAAAAAAAAAAAGCCCAACAGATTTTCCTGCATGGGCTGGCTTTGTTCTTTAGATCTCAGCTTCCTGAGTAGCTAAGATTACCACTGGTGGTAGAATGGCTTTACTCTCTTTGGTATATTGGGGTGAGTGACCAGGTGGACATAGGGAACCCCTTCAGTTAGGCCTCTGGCCTGGAGCACCTGGGCTTGCATCCTAGCTCTCACTTGCCAAATGTAGTCATGGGCAAGTCTAGTCGCCTTCCTGTGCCTCAGTTCCTGGTCTGTAACTGAGGAAGACCACTGCTTGTCTTGAGTGTTGGAGGTGGGGTGGAGAGGAGCAGTTGTGATTCTGTGCAAGGAGCTACACATCTGGAGGTACTTGGTAAGTGGTAAATTCAAATCATGGGGCTTGAACTCAGGGCCTGGGCACTATCCCTGAGCTTTTTTGCTCAAGGCTAGTGCTCTACCACTTTAAGACACAGCTCCAATTCTGTTTTTTTCTCGGTGGTTAATTGGAGAAAAGAGTCTCACAGACTTTTCTGCCTGGGCTGGCTTTGACCCACGATCCTCAGATAGACTCCTGAGCAGCTAGGATTATAGGCGTGAGCCACCAGCACCCAGTACTTTATTATACCTTATGATACCACTCTGGGAAATATTAACTGTATAATTTTTTTAAAAATTAGACTGAAAGTAAAAGCAAACTGAAACAGACCAGCATGGGGGACTTTTTATTGTATTTACAAAGCAAAAAGTAGGCCGGATCTGAAATCGGATGAACTGGATTTGGTTGTGTTTGGACTCCAGGTGGTCCAAACCTCTGGCGGAGGCTTCATCCATGGTAATTCCTGCTGCGGAGAGGAAGAGAAAAGCTCAGTCCTGCAGGGCACAGTAGTAGATAGAGGGAACCAGAGATGTTGGCAGATGTCTGGGTTCCCAGAATTAAGGATGCTCGTGTGTGTCAGCAACGTGGACCTCTATCTTATTCCCTGTTCTGCCAACCAGCTCACTGAGACATGGACCAGTCAGTCACTCCCCCAGACAGTTTCAGCCAACATCCCCTTCCTGAACATTTCCACCAATCACAACTGACTGTGCAAGAAGGTATGCAAGTCCTGGCTACCTCCGTGCAGCATGTGTGCTGTGGGAGCAGGGACTACCATCATCCTGTGCACTGCTGATCCCTCCCACAGAACCTGGCATGTGACAGTGACTGTGCCACTGTCACAGGGGTGGGAGGAAGGACACAAGCATGGGAGGTCCAGATCTTTCCGCGGTACTGTCTTTTTCCTTTCTCTTCATTTCTTTTTTCCTCTCTCTCTCTCTCTCTCTCTCTCTCTCTCTCTCTCACTCTCTCTAAGCTATGTTTAGACATGGTTTCACTATATAACCCAGGCTGCCCCAAATGTGTGATCCTCCTGCCTCGGCCTCCTGAGTGATGAGATCACAGGTGTGTGCCACCATGCTGGTTCTACACGCATTCTCACCTGCTGTTCTCCCAGGCCCTCTAGTGATGCCCTGGTATTTGCAGGAGGGGAACAATGGTTAGAGAGGCCTCCGGGTCCCTTAAGAGAGCTGTGAAGCCTCTGGCTTTGAACTTGCAGAACAAAGCGACTTTCCTACAATTGGCCCTCTGTAGGACCTCAACCTTAGTTTGAATGGCTTCTAGGAACACAGCAGGTAGATGATAACCTAAGGCCAAGGTGAAAGGCTGGGCGCATCCTTCTTAGAGGCAATATTTTTCTTCTTTTAGAAGAAGTATTAGAGTCAATATTTAGAGGTCATCAGAACTCACCCACTCCTTTGCAAGAGGAGGAAGTTAGGTGAGCACCTATTGCTGTGGGAGTTGGTGACAGAATCAGGTTTCATCCTGCCGGTCTCTGCCCGGTTTTCCCCCTTGTTTTCTCCCCATGGCCTGCTGCTGTCTGTGTCTACACAGACAGCTCTAGGTGTCTAATTAGGTTGGGAGGTCAGGGAGGGAGCACATGGAGCACTCTGTTGGAACATGTCTATGCTCAAGTTTGAAATCAGACTCTGAAATACATGTTTCTCTCCAAATAGGACACTCTGGAGACTTTTCCCAGCAATTAGAGTTTTATGTGAAGATGTGCCAGGCCCACAAGCTGGCCTGGGCTCACCAATCCCTGTGGAGCCACAGCCCCACCTCTGCCTCACTTTCCCTCTTCTTGGGAATCATTGTACAGGAAGCATTCAGGAGAAACCTCATCTCCTTGTTTTTGTGGAAAAGCCTCAAAAGCCTGTGGAAAAGAAAAGGTCCTTCCTTGTCCCTGGCAACCCTCATGAAAGTAAGTTTCTAAGTGTACACACACACACACACACACACATTACCTGCTCTTTTGCAGTAGGGCTGCCAGGATGCTCTCCAATGCCATCTGTTCTTGGTCTGCCCACATGTGGTCCAGCTGCCGGCCTGGCCGCAGCTTTGCTCCTTGCCCCTGGTTCTTCTCTCTATGTGGTTACAAAAAGAGCTGGGGTTTTTATGGGGTGGGATGTGGTGGGCAAGGGTGTATCCTTGCCCTGTGGATTCTTCCCCACCATGGAATGATCCAGCAACATTCAGGGATTATGGCAGTGAAGAGTATAGTACCCAAGTAGATATTGCTATAAAATTGTCCCCACCAGCAGGCAGCACATTAACCATGCGATCCAACATCCTGCCTACCACTAACTCAGCAGTACTGAGTGTACTGATAGGACACATTGCAGCCATTACCTATGTGGGCATTACTTGAGTCTGATTATGAGGGATGGAGGTTAAAAAGAAAAAAGAAAAAAGGCCAGTGTCATGAAAGACTGAGGAGGGCTTCCAGATTTAAAAAATAAATAAACAAAAAAAATTAAAAAAAAAGCAAAAAATGAATGAGAGGCTGGGTACCAATGGCTCTCGCCTGTGATCCTAGCTACTCAAAAGGTTGAGATCTGAAGATCTTATCTCCAATTACCTAGGAAAGCCAGAAGTGGGGCTGTGGCTCAAGTGAGAACATAAGGTCCTAAGTTCAATGTCCAGTACCAGCACAGAAACAAAATTTTTGATAACTAACAAGATATGACAACTAAATGGAACCCAAGACCTTGCATCAGAAAAAGAAGTCATTTTATAAAGAACATCTTGGAACAGTTGATAAAATGTGAACTTGCACTGTGAGTGACAGCTGTGTGATTATGTAAGGATATGTGCTAGGCATTAGGAGATGAGTGTAAAAGTGCCTAAGGGAAAAGGGTCATGAAAACTGCATGGACGCTAATGAAAAACCATAGGCCAGGTGTGGTGGCGCACACGTGTAATCACAGCTATTCAGGAGGCAGAGATCAAGTGGATCGCAGTTCAAGGCTAGCTTAAGCAAAAAATTGTTGAGACCTTCCACTCAATCATCTCACTGAGTGTGGTGAAACATTTTTATGTAGGAGACATAGGTAGACCAACCATGGTCTGAGGCCAGCCTGGGCAAAAATTGAGACCCTATCTAAAACAAAAGATCCTTTGAGGGGGGCAGGGAATGACTCAAGTGGTAGAGTGCTTACCTAGCAAGCATGAGGCCCTGAGTTCAAACCTTGGTATCACCAAATTAATAATAATAATAAATGTGCATATGTGTTTGGGTATGTACATGCCTATATCCATATATTGGTCTAGAGTAAGGAAATATGGTAAAAAAAATTAAGGAATTGTTTAACATTTTTCACAATAAAAACTTAAAAAAAATGTACAAGTTGTGACATCGGGCTGAGTGGACCCTAGCTCTGCCAACTGCAGTTTGGGGCCCTTTAGAGAACACTTATGGACCTGGTCAATGAGATGAGTGACTGTCTCTATATTGCTGGGTTGTTTTGAAGATCTGAGAAGAAACTAGGAAGAGTGGCTGGCACTTCCATGGGCTTCCTGGGTACCCAGCACGGTGTCAAGTGTAGGGACAAGGCCCTGTCGGCCATCAGATGTTAACAATGGGTCAGTGCTGTTGTTATTGTCAGAGCTTGGAATAGAACAGGCACACAGTAGGTACAGGGGTGAGTGGGCACGTGCCACTCTGCTGTACAGTCAGAATGACAGATGCTGTGGCAAGACAGAGGCCTCCTGACTCCAGCCTCCCCACGGCAACAAAGAGGGCAGAAACCACAGGGACTTCCGCTCACGCTTGCTGCCTGTTCATGAGGTCCTGGAGCAACTTCCGGGCAGACAGCTGGCCCAGCACCTTCCGGTAGCTGTTGCTGAAGATGGCATCTGCATAGCGCCGCATCCTGTGAAAGGGTTGGGGTGCGGACCAGGTGAGAGGACAGTTGGAGGCCACACTTACCCTCTCTCTTCAGTGGTCCTCTGTGTTCCCCATTTGTCCCTTAGAAAGACTCAGAGCCTGGTTGAGTGGCCTTTTGGGGGCTTCATGTCTAGTCCTCCCCTTGGGATGGGGAAGAAGTCCTCAGGGCCAGCTGCTGGCTCATTTGGCATCCCCTCACTGCCATGGTGGGGAGACCCGGGAGCGTGACAGCCTGGAAGCTGCTTACCTGAGGGGCAGGGAGGGGGGCGGCAAGCAGTGGGAGCTGCTGCTGAGGGCCAGGATCACGATAAAGAACACCCACAGTGGCATCCTGCAGCCCCGGATGGCACCTACAAAAAATAGCAGGAGGAGATGCGGCACGTCAGGGGCAGCCCTGCCATCGAGTTGCCCTTTGCCTGTTGGGCTCAGCCCTGGGCTTGCCTCTGTTGACAAGGCTTAATCCTCTGGAAGCTGTGGGATAAAACAAAGAATGCAGATTCAGCTATATCTGGATGCAAGTTCTGCCTCTGCCAGTGCCCCGTCTCGTCCATCTGTAAAATGGGCATGAAAAAGCCACCTCACTGAGTCCAACAGGAAGCCAATGACAGGAGGGAAACAGCCCTTCACTCTAAGGCATGAGAGGTGAGCTCACACCTTGGTGAGTGATGGTGGACCTTCCCTTAGTGCGCCCCCCCACTCCCACCCCCCCACCCCCAGACCAGAGTGGCACTGACTGCCGGAACAGGAATAGATCTCTGGCTCTGTCAGACACATTTGAGTCAAACCTGGCTCTGTGCTTACTAGCTGTGTGTCCCAAGGTAACTGGTTACACCTCTCTGGGCCTCAGTTTCCCAATCATAATATCTCTACAACAAGTGAAGAGCAGGTGCCATGAGCCACCTGTGGAAGGCACACAGAGAAGTCTCTGGAAACCTTTGCTGTGGTCACCTTCTACTGCCCTCATTGGAGGCATTCTTTAGCTGTGTTGTTTTGAGTGCTGTTGGAAGGAAGAAGGAGAGTTAAGTCTTGCTCGACAATAGTTTTAACTCAGGAAGGGATCTGAGAGCTCTGGCAGCCAGTGTGTCACAACCTTCTCATAGATCACGTAATTATCCTGAATTGGGGGCCTGTTGACATTGTGCTCTGAGTTAGGGGATGGGCAGGCTGTGGGAGAGAGAACCACCAGCCAAGGAAGATGCGCTGTGGCTGGTCTGTGTCTCAGCCACCTAGAAACAGGGTCTTCTCTCCCTCCCTCCCCCCCCCTCTGTCTCTCCCCCCAGCCCCCCTCCTTGCAGGATGTTTGCGCCAGGGGGATGTAGAAGCCCGACCAGTCCTTGAGAGGGCAGTATCCTCCATGGCTGTGATGGCCGCAGTAGCCTCTACTTCTTTCCCTTGCCATGCTCACTGAGGGGTGGGTCCCGTAGGCAGGACCAGCATTGTGGGGAAGGGGTGGGGATCCACTTATTTTTGCAGACTCACAAGTCTTCTTGGGCCTTGCCCCTGTCTGCAGACCTCATGCTCTCCACGAACCCAAGGACACCTTGGCTGGCAGGAAGCACCCATGAGGAACTGCCCACAGGGCCTGAGGAGCTTGTACCTCCAGAGCTGAAGAAGTAGCTATGCAGGTGCCAGAGGTGAGCCCAGCTAAGACTGCTCCCCAGCTCCAGGCAGGCCTCCAGTTCCTGTTGGGGGAGCATTCACTGTCAGAAAGACAGGAAGCTCTCCACCTCCAAGCCACTCTTATTTTATTTTTGACTTAAAAAAAAATACTGGGTGTTGAACTCAGGGCTACATACCATTTGAATCACACCTCCAGCCCCGTTTTTTTGTTTTTTGGGTCCGGTCATGGGGCCTGAACTCTGGGCCTGGGTGCTGTCCCTCAGCTCTTCAGCTCAAGGCTAGCACTCTACCACTTGAGACACAGCACCACTTCTGGCTTTTTCTTTTTGCTTATGTGGTGCTGAGGAATCGAACCCAGGGCCTCAGGCATGCAAGGCAAGTGCTCTACCACTGAGCCACCTTCCCAGCCCATCCAGCCCCGTTTTTGCTCTAGGTTATTTTTCAGCTAGGATGTCACTTTTGGTCTGGGGCCAGCCTTAGACCATGATCCTTCTTTTGGAACTATGATCTTCCTGATCTCTACTTCCTGGATTACAGGTGTAAGCCACCATACCCAGTCCCAAAACAGTCTTATTTCCAAGCAGTTCTTAGTGCTAGGAAATTTTTCTCATTATATCACATCCAAAGTGCTTTATCTTATCAATACAGTCATGTACTGCATAACAACATATTGGCCACATATACAGCTGTGATCCCATAAGAGAGATGCTTTAGCTGAAGAAACAAGAGACCAGGTTTAGCTCTGGAGAGAGCAGCTGGCCCTTGGCTGTCTGTAAAGCCCAGTATCTTTTCTCTTGGCCTCAACTCCCTCTGCCTCCTCTGCTTCCACCCCTCTCTCTAGGTATAACTGGCGGGGCCCCAGAGCCTTGCTGTCCCACCCAGGTATCCCCCACACCCACCCGCTAGAGCAAGCACAGCTGTGCCATTTCACAGCACAAGCAGCAAGCACAGCTGTGCCATTTCACAGCACAAGCAGCAAGCTCAGAGAGGAGAAAGGGCTTTTCCGTGGTCCTCCATCAAGCAAACGTTGGAGTGAGTCCTTCAGAATGGCCCCCTCGCTCCCAGGCAGCCCAGCAGGCAGGTTCTCAGCTACAATACCCTATTCACAGTGCCCACCATTCATGAGATCTTTGAATTCATCACCTGCATGTGGGAAAGGCTCTGAGCAGGCAGAAAGCTTTGCTCTTGTCCCTGGGCCTCTGAGGAAGCCAAAAGGGAAACAAATTGGAACACCTGCTGGATTGCTACCTCCCTCTGAACATGCAAGAATTTGGGAAGTAAAAAAGAAGTTCATCAGAGGGCAGACATCAGGGGCACAATAGCACTGCTCATTCAGTAGGAGGGCAAATAATTGCCCAGGTTGGTCAAGCAGGAAGCTCCACATTTGCCAGAAATCATGTACCCCGGGAGTGGGTCCGGCCACAGCAGCCCTTGTGGGCTATGGGAACGGATGCATACCTGTGGGACAGTCTGTGAGGCTGCCAACTCCTACTGGAAAAAGAGATGGGGACAGCCAGAATATGTAGCCTGTGGCAAGCTAACAGCTAAGGATAAAAGAGCCATGGACTGACACGTTCCACATGGCAGCCTAAAGAGGTAGAAGTCATGGGGTGAAGCATAACCCCAACCCAATAGCTTCACTGACACATCTTGTGTGACACTGTGAGCTTTTGAGAGCTTAAAAGCCCTCCTGATAAGTATCAGCTTTCTTCTCATACGTGCATGTGTGTGTGTGTGTGTGTGTGTGTGTGTGTGTGTGTGTACTGGGGCTTGAACTCAGGGTCTGAGCACTGTCCCTTAGCTCTTTTGCTCAAGGCTAGTGCTCTACCAGTTGAACCATACCTCCACTTCTGGCTTTTTGCTGGTTGAGATAAGAGTCTCACTGACTTTCCTGCCTGGGCTGGTTTCAAACCTCAACTCCTTAGATCACAGCCTTGAGAGTAGCTAGGATTACAGATGTGAGCCACTGGCACCTTGGCTACTATGAGCTTCCTGAGGGGCTCATTCTGTGAATAGATAGATTTGAGTTACCGGAACTCAGCACAAGTGAGCTCTTGCTCCTCCTCCTCCTCAAGTGACTCCTTGGCCAGCTTGCTTGCCACACATGCAGAATTCTGCAAACATGTACCTTGAGCTAATGACAGGGGTCAGGCTTCAAGAAACCAAATTAACAAAACCACTATAAAAACCTGGGGAGGGAGGACTTTTACCTTTGTCAGATATTCTGCATTGGAACTGAGAATCCCAAAAGAGTGACACCTTCATTCACTGTATACGCTGTTTCACTAGAAGCATTCCAAGTTGAGGGAAATCTAAGTTTGTGTGTGTTTGCAGTGCTGGGGATCAAACTCAGGACTTCCCACATGCCAGGCAAGTGTTTTACCACCGAGTTACCAAATCTACAGTCCCAACTCTATAAGATTTTAATGAAGAAATATCTTGAGCTGTTATTCAAAAGACTGACATCCACATCCTTCTAGAAAGGAAGGTGGGGTGGAAAAACCAAGCACTTCAGGATCATGTGAACAAGCCTCAGGGAATAGGCATGGGGTTTAATAACAGAGGACTCTAAGGACTGACAATTATGTCTAAAACTTAAGTAAGGAGCATGGCTGCAATTGAACAAGAAAGCAAAATGTCACCAATTTCCAGGCAATTATGTTGGATCAATTGTGAGCGATCAATGCGTTGCATTGAACTGCAGAGCTACTTGGGTTCTCTCCCATCCATGGCAGGATCATATCGACAGGGGAGATGCTAGCCGGCTCTCATCTTGCCCCAGAAACCTGCCCACCCCACACTGAGACCTTCCTTGCCTGGAACACACTCCTGCAGCACATTTGCTTGCACACTTCTCCACAGGGTATCCACAATGATGCCAACATGGCATCAACCACCCAAAGCATGTCCTAGAGCCCCTCATGAAAAGGTATATTGTACCCAGAGTGGGGCCCCAAAGCGCTCACCAATCCATGGGCCAAAAGGATGGCGATGGGCCTTTTGACTTGGTATCTCTTTGTTGGGGAGAATGGCAACTTTTCTCACCCCCATCCAGCCCCGGCCCCCCGGGTTGCTCCCCTCTCACCTCTGATGTGACAGGTTGTCCCTCAGCTCCTCTGGCTCCACTCCGGCAGGGTGTTCGCTTTGCTCCAGCGGCTGTGTGCGTGGCGCTCCCATTTATACCTTCATTTTCCTAAGCGTCAGAGCCAATTACCCACGAGTCAACCAATACACCATTTTTAGTATCACACTGACAAACCATAACAGTGGAAAGAGGTTTTGGCCCCTGCTAATCAAGACTCCTATAGGACTCACCCTTTATCTCTGCTGGGGGACAGGGGATGACAAACAGAGAATACAAAGTTATAGTGTAATTCTGAGACAAATAGAGGGCAGAACACTGCTACTCTAGGAAGATGTTAACACCCAGGTTTTGCTTATTTTCCCGGATGAATGAATCTTTGAAAAAGTTCATGCAATTCCGTCTGTTTGTAACTTTATTTCACTTTAGGGTAGACAACATTATCAATAAGTGTTTTTTTTTACCCTTAGCGAGGAAAAGGTTTGTCTGTCTCCCTTGTCGACCCATTATCGGAGTTTTCTTGTATTGATTTAGATCTGCTGCCGTCACAGGCCCATTCTGACAGCTAGCCCTGGAGCAGCTGCTGTCCTGTGTCGAGACAGAGACCATGAACAAGTGAGAGGAAAGA